TGATGCAAAATGTTGGATGCAGAAGTGGAGACATGTTCTCTGGAGTGAGTAATGATGCTTCTTTGACTGGAAAGCCGATAGATGAGTCTGGGTTTGACAGTTGCTGAGAGAAAGGCGCATGTCTAACTGCACTGTGCCAAGTGTAAAGTTTGGTGGAGAGGTGATTATGGTCTGGTGTCATTTTTAGTGAGTTGAGCTCAGGCCATTAGTTCCTGTGAAACCTGCTATTAACGCTTCATGCGCCTCACTTTGTGGGAACAGTTTGGTGACGGCTTCTTCCTGTTCCAGTGACCACCATTGCACAAAGCAAGGTCATAAAGATCACAGGGATGACCGAGCCTGTAGTGGAAGAACTGCAGAGGCCTGCAGAGTCCCCCCCTCAACCCGACAGCACATCTTTGGGATGAATTAGGGCTGGAGACTGCAAGTCAGGTCATCCAGTGTCTGAGCTCACAAAATGTGCTTCTGGAAGAGTGGTCAAATATTTCCATAAACACACACACTAATCCTCGTGGAAAAGCTTCCTAGAAGGGTTCAAGCTGCAAAAGGTGGACCAGCATCATATGAAACCCTGTTGGTTAAGAATGGGATGTCACTCAAGCTCAAACGCGTTTGAAGGACAACAAGCGAATACGTTTGGCAACATGGTGAATGTAGAAACATATAAATACAGATAGTGATGTTTGATGAATTTTACCTAAAACTGTGCTGTGATGGAGATGATTGTGTGGCAGAACTTACGTGTGTCAAACGACTGTGTTAAACAGTGTTCCCTTTTATTATTCCAGGCAAAAGTAATATCAGTTTGAAATTAGCTTACCTAGAGATAAACCATTAGTACATAAAATCAGATAAAAGCAGATCCTACAAGCCAAGTGAAAAGCAGTCGTTTCCATCATAACAAGAAAGCGAGTAAGCGACTGTTGGGTAAATTGCATTGGCTACAATCAAAGGAGCTTGCAAAGAAAAGCGTCTGGACTTCTTGAAGTTACTTGAAGACGTTTCACCTCTCATCCGAGAAGCTTCTTCAGTTCTAAGGTCAAATGGTGGAGAGTCCCAGATTTAAACTCAGTGGGAGTTTCCCCCCACAGAGGGACAAAAGGACCCCTGATAATCCTCTAATCCCCTGAGCCAAGGTGTGAAACTGGGTGTGGGTCCCAATCAGCCAGAGTTTCGGGTGAGCTCATTGTGAAACCTGGCCCCACCTTATCAACCTTGGAGTCATGTTTGACCAGGACATGTCCTTCAACGCACATATTAAACAAATATGTCAGACCGCTTTCTTCCATTTGTGCAATATCTCTAAAGTTAGAAATATCCTGTCTCTGAGTGACTTGCTGCTGTATAAATAAAATTGACTTGAAAGTTTGTTAAATTTGTTTTATGTATTACAATGATCCTATGAATAGTTTCCCAGTTCGTAGATCTTAGTTTCAGTGTTTTTGTATTTCTTTTCAGGTTTCAGAGTGACAGCATTAAAGCCGTCACCTTTGATTCATTTCATTATGTTGTTGTCTGCGAGTCCTGCACTTGGGCCCTATTCTGCTTGCCACACACCACACCCTGACATTAAATGTGTCATTACTTCTCAACACTAAAGTTGTTGTTGTTTTTCACTAGTTTCACTAGTTTGGCCCACTTCAGATCAAAGCAGGCTGTTTGTGTCCACAGTGTAAAATTAGTTTGACATTTCTTGCTTCTGGAGTTCTGGAGACTTTGTGTCTTTGTTGAGTTAAAGTAGCCCAACATTTTATTAAAAAAACTTCATTTCATTCATTTTTTAATTTGCATGAACTCAAATTTCAAATTAGGAATTAAAATACTGAATTGAGAGTCTTACTGCTTTTCACAGTTTATTTAGTCTGTTGTGCTTTCCCTCACACAGCTCTGTTGTCCTTATCGAGTGTTATCTGGTCTCGATTGATGTTTGCAGTCTCTCTGGTTTAGATAAGTGTCACATGCCTAGCACAGCTTGGAGCATGTGCCTGTCATCCCGTTTTGGTTATTATTCACTGCATCAGTAGTTTTTATGACTTACGGTCCTTTCTGAAGTGTTTTTGTATTTTTCACATACAGAGGCAAACACAGCTGCTTTAATGCTTTTCTCAAGGAATTTAATTGCTAGTGAAATTTGAGAGACTTTGATTTCTTGGTAGATTGTTAGTATTAATCCTCCTAGCATGTCTGACTTTTTAAATAAAAAATGTTCCCATGTCAACTGCTTGCAAAAGCTTTGCTGGAGGGTTTTCCTAGTTTACTAAAAATGTCCTTCTAATTTGTGCTTACCGGGGTCGTTATAGTAATGCTGAGACTCTAAACCCAGGAAATCAATCTACACACACACACGGGGAAGATCTGACCCTGTCCTAAAACAACAGAAGTAATGGCAAAGAAGTGCAAAAGGTAACTTGTTAAATTTCAACATTTCTCTTTTCCAATTATGAGTTCGATTGGATGAAATAGGTAATGAAAATGAAGTTTAATGGTTTTATTGATTTTACAAAATATTTGGGTAATGTCATTACAGTTTGTGAAAGTAAAACCTAAACAAAGAGCACGGTATCTAACACGGCTACATAATTCAATTATGAATTCAAATTAATTATTGTGGCTGAGGTTTTCTTTTTGTTTGTTTGTTCTACTTTGTACAGCACTTTGGTCAACCTGTTGTTTTTAAATGTGCTTATAAATAAATTGAAATTGATTGATGATCGAAGAAGAGCATTTTGGAAAAGCTAAAAATGAACTTTGGATAAAGTGTTGTATTAGTTATGATAAACACACAGGTGGTTACAACAAAATCAAAAATGACTGGAGCCTCTCTCTCATCCTGCATTCAGCTGCATTCTGCTTAGTCTGCACCCCTCCACGTACTCAGCTCTTCAGGCCCGAAAGCCATCTGATTCGTCTGCTCCAGATTTACTCGCCCAGAGTGTCGTTCCCACAGTCTGGACTCTCTGCTCGGTTCAACTGGAGTTCCTCTGCTGCTGTGTGCAGCAAGCAACCGTCTGTTCTCTGTGTGTCCACAATGTACTCAATATTACATCTGCCACCTGCTCAGTCCGCCATAATTATTCATCTCTCTACGGTCTCTTAGCTGCTACTTACAACAGATGGCTGCTATCGTCAGGTAATAGCTCATGTTACCATGTGTGCTAGCAGGTTGACATTTATGGCAACTGTTTAATACTTCAGTGTTTTTGAAACAGGAGCCTTACTGACCTTTTCAACCTAAAGTTCTGTGTAGTGTTAACTAAAATTGAATGAATGTTAAATACTCAGCAGTTGGTGAGGTGTGAAGTTGTGTGTCAGCTGGAGGAGTCACAGTTGGTACTGAAAGGGTTGAAAATGAGTTTCTAATCACTGTGGTAATCTTAGTGGTTACCACGGTGAAAAGGTGTGTTTTAGCTAAAACTACAGTCCCTTAGCTAACACTGTTCAAGTAGTTTTAGTACCTGACAGTGTGGCCAGCTAAACCTGAAATAAATAAAATAAAATAAATAATGGGCTAAAAATACTAAATGAATTTCCACGTGTCATGAAAAAAGTTTCCAGGAGGAGTCAAAAATGAATGCAGACTTTATGTCTTCTTCTATATTTGTCTTCTAAAAATGATTTTCATGTAGGACTAATCTGCCAAAAGCAAAAAGTGGTAATGCTGTTCTGGATGTGTGTTGTCCTACAAACACACCTAACGTGTACTTTTAGTTCTGTTTAAGCACTAAAACAGCATGAAGACTTGTGTTGTACTCGAAGAACACTGTTCGGCCTTTGCATGTTTTAAAAAGGACAGAAATTGGCACATATAACCTTCATAATTCTGCAATTCTTTGTCTCAAACCTTATTTCTACTATGCCTTCTGTTCTAATGTAACCTAGAGCTTGCACCAACATGCAGGTACAAAAGTACAGTAAGCCGAATTCTTCTGAATCCTTCCGAATCCTTCCTAGGGCGATCGTGGCTCAAGAGTTGGGTGTTCGTCTTGTAATCGGAAGGTTGCCGGTTTGAGCCCCGGCTCAGACAGTCTCGGTCGTTGTGTCCTTGGGCAAGACACTTCACCTACCGCCTACTGGTGTTGGCCAGAGGGGCCGATGGCGCGATATGGCAGCCTGGCTTCTGTCAGTCTGCCCCAGGGCAGCTGTGGCTACACCTGTAGCTGCCTCCACCAGTGTGTGAATGTGAGAGTGAATGAATAGTGGCATTGTAAAGCGCTTTGAAGGCCCCGAAAAGCGCTATATAAATCCAATCCATTATTATTATTATTAATCCAACACCACAAAAAAAATTTCTTTTAACTTTCGGGCAAATTTCAGAGATATCTAGCGGTATCGCAGTTAATGAGTGCAGTAGAGTTCGTGTGTGCCAGGAGGCTGGATTTTAGAACAAAACCAGCTTTTCAAGGAACAGCAATAGAGGTAAAGTCACAGGATTAAGAAATGTGTAATGCAAAGCAGGTGATTGTTCACGGTCACAGTAAACACTGCCCCTCTTCTTTCAACTACAACCAAAATTATGAGCACATGATGACTGTGATTACAGGGGGTAGGGCGGGGTGGAAGGTTCACTGAGGACAAATGCACTCAAAGATTAACAGTCTCACTGTGTGGTGGTTCCTATAAATGCAGAAGAAATACCGACAGTTCTCTTTTACTGACACGATAAGTATATACGCCGTGCACTGCAGATCACAGAGTTTATTTTGGAAAGCATGTTGTCTTAAACGGTCTCTCATCTTCTCTTTCCTCTTTGCCTTCATTCTTGACGTCTGTCTTGTCTCACATGTGGAACCTGTTTGACTTGGTGTTCCCTTTCTGTTACTCCTCTTCTTTCCCTCTCTCTAGCATCGATTTCTTTCTTAGTGAATTGACTTAGAGCTAATTGCTTCCAGCAGGCTTTTCTCCAACTGTGTCACGCTGCTCTCCATCATGTGATGATACGATGTGGGTTTGTTACTGGGGGCAAACAGACTGCTCATTGGAGAAAAAGCCTGGAATACTTCAGTCTGTGGTTAAGAGCCTGTTTGACCACATCTGCTGCGAAGGAGATGAGATTCTTTGCAGTGTAGAGAAATCACATTTTTCTTTTTACTTTTTGGGACCAGCTGACACGTTTCTTAAATGGCTGAGGAGGTTTTAATTCCACCGTCGGGGAAAATCACTTCGGTAAGTCCAGACAGACGGGCACTAAACAGAAGCAGAACTATCAACTGACTGATCCCATCCTGTGCTGGACATTAATTATAGCAGCTAATAGCATTTAATACCGAGAAGAGGCCTCTGCTTTCTTATTTATAATTTATTTAGTGTTATTATTTAAGTGAGGTTGAAAGTTGAAACAAATTTATTGCGTAAAAAGAAATCGCTATTTTTTTTTTAAATAAATGACACAAGATTTACTCATTTTTGGAAACTGAGTAAACAAAATAATGTTTTCAGTGGGTCGAGCTTAATAACTGAACAGAAAGCATTCTGAATTTAATTTGTCGCGTACATTCGTAAAAAATCAATGAAAACTCTCAGCTGTAAGAATCTGTTTTTAATTTTATTTCTATATTACACCAAATAAAGCTTTAGGGACCCAAACACAGACAAAGGAAAATCAGGATTTTTGACCAAAAGCGAACCATTTATTATGGCTGGTGGTCATAATTCAAACATTGTCATCGTCCTTACAAATGTGGCTGTATTTAAAGGGAAATAAGCAGGTTTTTGAAACATGTGTTTTATTGCCTATAGCTATTGTTACAACAAGATAATTAACTAAACACAAATTCCTTTACTTTTTGTGTTAAGTTTATATACAGTTAAAGACATTTGCAGATATTTAGATTTTGTACATCTTGTTAAGACTTACACACAATACTGTAGTATTGTGTATAAGCTACTGTTCATTTCTTAATATTTTGCTAGGAAAATGGGAAAGGTATGGTGGTTGATTGAAGCATGTGTCAGGATACATGGAAATACAATGTACAGGGAAAAACAGCTTGAAAGATAATATTTGGAATGACCACCTTTATTTTTCAACACAGTCTGAACCCTTTTTGTCATGTAGCACCGTGCGGCAGCAGGTGGAGCCAGGAGTCAAAACACAAAAGCTTCTTGAAGAACAGTCCAAAGCTCTTCTTTCCATGTTTCCAGACTATTTTTCTATTTGTTGTTAAGATAACCCTATACTGCTTCAGTAACAGTGAACTTCAAAGGAGCCACGGCATCATGTTATAGACATGGTTGTAGACAATCTGTTGTACCTCGTACCTACTTTTGCACCTGATCGCTCCATAAGACCCATTGCACTGATGTTCAGGTCTATTCTTGTGTAATTTAGCAAGCTTTGGTGAACAGTAGATGGATCAAATGCATCTCTCTGGTGCTGCATCTGTCGTTTGCAATATTATCATTATTATCAATATTTTCATTTAACTGCTGTTGGTGCAACAGTACAATTGTATGCCTGTCAAACTGACAGTAATACATTATATATATATTTTTACAACATGATATAGAAACACAGAGTCTGAAGATACAATTTTAAATGAGTAATTTGGTGAGTTGTCTGTTACGTATAGACACACCAGTTCATTCTCTTGGAAAGGCTTGGTGCCTTATCAGTGCTTGAGCGATTCAAGAGTCAGTGTTAAATAGCTTAAGAGTCACACAGTCCTCTAAAAGATAGTCAGGTGCAATGAGTGCACTGAAAATGAATAAAAAGTAGCCGGTGTCCAAAGAAAAGCACTGAAAGACTTCCAGAAAGTACAAGAAAGTCTGACTCATTAGAGCTAAATATAAAGAAAGTGTGTGTGAAAGACTTGTTTTTAAGATGTTTTTAATCTGATTGCTTTACACAAACATGCCAACTTTCTTATGTGACATACAATCAGAGATTTGTGAATGTTGGTGAAAAAATGACAACTTAAAACTTAACTGATTTTTTTATTCACACAGCGTATAAAATGTTTTGTCTTAACTTTAAGAAGCTGTGAGCTCACCATCATATTCTGCATGTGTCTCTCCTGCTCTGTCTGCAGCACCTCACTGCCTCTTTGCTGGCAGTGGCATTCCTTACCTCCTTTGGGAGCTCTATGCTTTATGGGTACAATCTGGCTGTGGTAAACTCCCCTGCTGTGGTAACACACACACACACACACACACACACACACACACACACACACACACACACACACACACACACACATCTGGAAAGTAACTTATTGAAGTGCATTTGTTTATAACAGCCGTTATATTCTGCATGGCCAGATCTTGCATATGAATCTGCATGATCTACTGGCCAGGAATTTGGTTTTGGAAGCTTTGTGGTTTCAGTGTGTTTAAGTTTGTAGTCCCAGTAATATCGATTAATCATACAGCCACTCAAAGTTGCCGCTTTCGGCCAACATAGATATCCAAACATTTCTGGCACAGCTTCCAAGATGGAAAAGGACAAAGATTTTTCTTATTCATTTTATTTATAGCTCCTGTGATTGCTGTGTGTAATTTTAACTTGTTTGCATTTTTCTGTGCACTTTTGATATTTAACTAAGTTTGGGACCATTTCCCCTTTAAATCTGTAGTGGTTCAGTCCATTTGGGCTGTGGTACAACCATTGGGTTTAACCAGTCAGCCAGTACAACCCCCTTAACTGCTGATTGGTTAGCTTATTTATGTGTAAATGTGTGATTGGTGCACTTGGAATTCTTTCTTTATTGAAACACAAAGTATTGGTATTTTGTAAAAAAAAAAAATATATATATATATTTTTGGTGTTTTCTGTTGAAAACGACAGTTTGTCTGAGGGAGGGGAGCACGTGCCCTCACAGTTACCCCGAGATAAAAATAAGACTCATACTCTGATGTCGCAGTTTTCATGAAAACTGTTTCTCCGACTCAGCGGATCTAAATAAATTGAAGAGGTATGTTCTGGCATGTGACTGTTAAGTCATCCTATCAAGTCGAAATTACTTCTGTACATGTTTAAGTTACACTCTGTTAAAAATGCAGATGTATTAAGAACAGTTGTAATAACACACTCTGAACTGCATAATTCTGAAAACAGGATTTTATCAGTGATTATTTTTTATTAAAGGTCAAAACACATCAATGGCATTCACTAAGAAAGATTTCCAGACATGCAGAGATGGGGCTTTGCTGCTTGTCTGTAGAAAGACTCACCATCATTAATAAGCAACGATCATTTCAATAAAATTCAAATTAAACTTGGCAGCTGAACAACAAGCACAAAAATTAGAAAAGCAGAAGTCCCTCATTTTAACATTGTGATAAAGTTTGTTATGAAAACGGTCCTCTTCTTTTTATTTTCCCAGTGTTTTGTAAATACTTCATACGTTACAATCACAGCGATAGGATAGAGAGAATATTTGGGTGTGGAAGTCGTTGGCTTCTGTGGTGGCTGTTTGGTCACCTGATGTGTGAAGAAAGAATCTGTTGTGAATCCGTTGTCGCTCATTAAGACCAGGTTGAATTTGAAGGTTAATCCTCTCCTACCTGTAAGCACATAGAGCTTTTGTACGTATAACGAGCTAACCAAATCATTGAAGAAAGAAATAGTTCAGCCTGGACACTTATTTGTGGGATATGTACCAGTTGTTGGATTTGTGTCTCTTTCACAGTGCGAAGGTTTGGAACCAGAGTATTAAAATAATTCGCAAAGGTGATATACTAAAGATATACTAAGATTAGTGGCAGATAGCTTGAGTAATGCTTTCCACCAAGAAAGCAGATGTGACTGGGATCGTTACCACTATAACTGTTCATTTATTTGGAAAACGTGAACAGTGAAGATTTCCAATAGTTTCAAGTAGCGAGCCCGAGGAGTGATCTCTGCGTGAAATATTTGCATTGCAATAATTGTTGGGCATCACAACATCCAGCAATAAATTAAATGTATGTTTTAATTTCAATTTTGTATTGTATATAAGAACATTAGCAGCGCAGTTAAAAATGATTTTGTTCAGAAACATAGGCCATAAGAAGATCATTGGTAGCCTTTCATCTGACTGAGACTCTTTAAATAAAGCATTTCTCTGCAGATGATCAGTTTGCTGTTTTACACCTTGTCCTTCAACAAATCTTCAGACAAAAGTCAGATTAGAGAGTGGCTTTAAATTAGCTAAGAAACTGGGTCAAGTAATGCCTTTTTAAGTAAAGGTTTAATTACTGCGTGTAAAGGCCTGTGGTACAACCCATTAACAGAGAAAGGTTGATCATATTTAAGACTCAAGCATGAATTAATTGAAGACATCTACTGTGATAAAGTCTACTCCCCACTGCTGTGTAATCAATTATTGTGAATGTAAATGTTATGTTATATAAAGTTACGTTGAAACCAAGCACACCATTGTTTTTCTTGTGACATTACCAATAAGTGTGATGTGTCACATGGCCCTCTTCCTATTGAAAAAACAAAAGTTGTATCCAAGATGGCCGACTTCTAAATGGCCACCATGGTCACCGCCCATCTTGAGGAGTTTGCCCCCTCACATATACTAATGTGCCACAAACAGGACTTTAACATCACCAACCATTCCCATGTTATTACGGTGTGTCCATAGAAACGGCCCACCCTGTATAGTGTGATTACAGTGGTGGGTGGGTTCTTTTACATTTTGACAGAAACCAATTGAGTCTAATAACAGATTAAATGCCATGTTGAGGCTGTCATTTTTAGCATCTACATGGATGTTAAAATCACCCACAATAATTATTTTATCTGAGCTCAGAACTAAATCAGATAAAAAGTCTGAGAAATCAGAGACTCGGCCTGTGCTTTGAGGAAGCTGACAATCAGAATGACTCGGGGGTGTTGATTCGTTTAAACTAACATAATCATCCTGCTGTAACCAGGTTTCTGGAAGGCAGCGTAAATCAATTTGCAAATAATTGCTAATTCACAGGGACTAACAGGGACTTAGAAGAGAGAGAGCTAATGTTTATTAATTCACATTTCACTGCTTTATTCTTTAGTGCAGTTGTGGATAATATATTGTTCTTTCTTTGTGGGTTTTTTTTAGTGTTTAAATTATTTGGGGGGGGGTAACAGGAGGAGAGAAGCTGTTTCCTGGTCTCTGGATAGTCACATTAAGAGAGGTGAAATAAATATAAATATAAATATAATAGCAGCTGATTGGTTTTGCTAATTCAGCACTGTTCAACTTGATGTAAACACACAAAGTAGATATTCAAAAATGTAAGCATTTGGAAAAAAGTCAGGGTCCAAAGGAGAATAAACCCAGCTGGGGTTAGAACCAAGAATCTGAGCTAACAGTGGTTAGCTCTGTCAAGAAGAGGAAGCTTCGGTCTGTTACCTTGCTTGCTCAAGCTAAAGTTATCTGAATGTAGTAATATAAATGTTCACATAAAGGGGTAGGTGCTGGCACCTGATATCTGTATATTTCTCACAAAATAAACTGCTGCTTTTACTGACTGAAAAATATATCTGATAATAATGATCATCAGGAAACCCAAAGGAGTTTGGTCTTTGAGTGCTCTTGCTAGTCATGAGAGATCTTTTCGTATCTGTTACAAGTAAATATTCGGTTTGAAAATGCTGGTCCATGGCTGGTCTCAGTTCACACGAGGGTAATGAAAATCTCAAATAAAAATGATCTTCTTTGTTGAAAAACCAGGCATGCTGCTCATGCTCATGCTCGAGTAGCAGCATGTGTCTGTCAGTTTTCCCGGCACGTGACACATGGTTCAGGGGAAACTGAAGTTAGCGCTAACACGTGCTGGCACATGTAAACTGATGATCAGGAGGTTTAGGTCAGACAAGACTTGTGGCTTTAATTCCAAAATATCAGAGTGAAAACTGAAGGTCTGTCTTGCTCTTATGTAACCATGATGTCGAAGCCACATGATACAAACACAGGTTTTTTTTTACTGAATTGTATTTAGGAATCTGATGAATTCACACATGTATAGATTCCTTATATTTTGCATGGAAAATGGAAAATTTGTGCATTTATTTATTGAAATGTACAAATATACACAGAAATACAGTATCCAAGGCAAAAACTGTTCAGTTCTGATAAGCTTGATTCAATATTTGGTATTACCCCCGTTTGTTCTTTAACACAGCCTGAACCCTTTGGGAAGCTTTCTTGTAATTTCTTTTAGACTTCATGAATAGTTCTCAAACATTTGTTGTCAATATGATCCCACACCACCTCAGTATATTGAGGGGGTCTTGGAACGTTTTGGGCCACCTTTAGCAAGCTGCTCTAAAATGATTTTTATTTCTGTAACAAAATCTGACCTTAAAAACCTTTTCCCAAAAAAATATTTACGTGAGCAGACTGTGCAATGGCAGCCAGTAATAGAATTTATTTATTCATTTTTATTCAGACAAACTAAAGTCTAAAATAGGCAGTGATGAGACACAGCTATGACTAATCAAATGGGACAAAAACTGAATGCAATTCATAAGAACACATGACTATCAGGAAATAACTAAACAGGGAACACCAACAGGGTAACAGGGAAACACTGAAGGCAGGATACGCTAAAGGAAAAAACACAATACACATAATAATCACGAACAGAAACTAGACAGTAAAGCTAATAGAAATTAAAATGCAGGATTACTATAAACAAAAAGATTAACCTAAAAAAAGAGATACAACAAAAGCTCTGGAATGTGTGCAGGGCTGTGGGAATGGTGTCCCCTGTCCATTTGACTTTACCCTGAGTCCCGGTTATGTGGAAGACAGGCCTTTATGTATCCGGTCGTTAAGTGATGACGTGACGAATCCTACTTCCGGGTCTAAAGTAGTCTGCGTTTAATATGGCTTTTGTGTTGTTAACATGTTTAATGTTTTGTATTTTCTTCTATTTGATCTCAAAAAGCTCCTAAAACAGTCAGTGATCACTGTTGACCTCCCTCGGCTTTTATTACCGCTAATCATTTATTTAAGCTCAGTTTTTAAAACCTTAGGATGTAACTACAGCCCAGCCCATGCAGCAGTATATGAATGACTAACCTCGTATTGTGGATGGATTATCTCAGTTGTTCTCCTGGCTGAAGTTTGGTCCTTTTACAGCATCCTGCCATGCGATTACATTTGTTCCTGACCACCGAGAACACTCACGTTAACTTTTATCCAGTGGAAAAAAAGTTAGCTTGTTTATATTATGCTAACATAGCTGTGTCGCTAGCGGTCACGTAGCACATCATTATATACCAGCTAGCCCAACTTCAGTAACCCTACAAACGTCACTGCTGTTTAGTTTTTGGTCTTCATTTATGTTGGAAGTGATAACAGAGCTGTACGTTTGAATTTGTTTCCAAAACCCCGCAGTCAGGACATGCTATATTGTATTTAGATAGAAGCTAGCGAGCTAACTCCCTGCTAACTTCTAACTCCGTTAAATGTCATAAATTCCGTTTTCATGGATGCCTGGATGTTAAACTCAGTTGTTACACCTGGTAGAGCAGAACGCTGATCATTTTATTAAAGATGAAAGACTTTAGACAGTTTTTCAACTCTCAGTAATGCCACAGTGATCGTTTGATATATGGACCTGCAGCGGAGTTTAGGCCCAGACACGGCTAGTGACGTCAGAATTAACGACCGGATAGCAGCATAAGCCTCTCCAAACATTTCATGACTACACACATTAAGGCAGTGGGTGTGTAGTCACTGAGCACTTTGGAGCAGATGACTTTGGCACAGGAATGATGGTTGTGGAGAGATAGTGGACTGTGACAGTGAGAGGTTAAACATCCTGGTCAGGACTCCCTCTGGCTGGTCAGCGTAGGCACAAAGTTCTTTACCAAGTACTCCGTCCAGCCCAGCAGCTTTCCTGTTCACAGCTTTCAGCACCTGCCTCACCTGGTGTTCCTGGAAGACGAGAGAGCAGTGGCTGGTGGAAGCGCCTCAGCTGTGTCAGGGCTCTTTGTTTCAAAGTGAAAGAAGAGGTTTTAATTCTTATGCCAACGTGCTCTCATCAGTGGTGGAGAGGCCATTGCCCTCAGCCGGAAAAGGGTAGAGTGCCCACTCCGGGTCAGGGGCAAGTGACTGCCTAACGCGAGGACTTTAAATATCTTTGGGTCTTGTTCACGAGTGAGGGGAGCGGGAGATCAGCAGACAGCAGCTGGAAGGATGTCGACGCTGTACAGGTCATGGATGAATGGATGGGTGGATGCATGTCTTTCTTTCATACTTTTTTGTTTCTATTCTTATTTGATCTTATTTGTATGTCTGTTATCTAAATGCATCCTATTTGTGCTCTTCCTCACACTGTCAGTACATCAAGGACTTCTACAACAAGACAGTGGTGCGACGCAATGGAACAGGACTCAGTGAGGAGACCCTGACCCTCATGTACTCTCTGACTGTGTCTGTTTTTGCGGTTGGAGGTCTGCTGGGCTCACTCATTGTGGGGATGCTGGTCACACGCTATGGCAGGTAAAACATTCGTCTTCATTTTTTTTGAAACTTAATTACTGAGAAGTATACAACAGTTTCTACTGTACATATTGTAACGTTCACAAGAACCAGACGGTTGGGTCTCAGTTTGTCCGTTTATTCGGCACATAAGCAAGCGGGTTGCTAACTCAGGGGAGAGCGCCCTCGTGCTACACCTCTCTTCAGCCTGGCACCCACACAACACAGAACCCAGGTCCCCCCTCCCCTTCCTCCACACCACCCTCCCTACTTCCTGCAGCACAACCAAACATGAATCTTAAAGGAACAAACAGTGTGCAAAGATAACCAACATGTACAATAACACTTAACCATCGTTACACTGCCCCCCCAGCAATAAGTTCCTCGTCCCCAAGGGAACGACACAGTCTCTGAGGCGGGGTGGTAGCCTACGTTCCCTCCTTGACCTCCTGAGCCCCTGAGGTGGGCGCGGAGCGTCGGGGCTTTGGGGTGAAGAGTCCGAGGGAGGGGAACGCAGCCCCGGTCGGGGGCCCCTCTGAGCAGGGTCATGGACGCTCTGTACACGTCCCTCTGGAAAGGAGGGGAGGGACTGCCCTCTGTAGGGGGCCATCCGGTCTCTGTGCAGCGCTACTATCCTCCCCCTAGGAGGCAACTGCACCCTGTAAACAACCTCCCCCACTCGCTCTAGGACGCTGCAAGGCCCCACCCAGCTGCTATCCAGTTTAGGACACCGTCCCTTCTTTCTCTTTGGGCTGTAGACCCACACCAGCTCCCCAGCACGGAAGTGCCTCCCCTTAGTGGTGATGTCATAATTCCTCTTTTGGCGCAGGCCTGCCTTCGCCAGCTGCTCCCGGGCGTAGGAATGTGCAGAATCCAGCCGGTCCTGCAGCTTCCTTGCGTAGTCCCGGCCTGGTGGTGCTTCTGGCACGTCCGGGGGCTTCCCAAAAGCCAACTCTGCAGGAGTTCTCAGCTCTCTCCCTAACATGAGCAGGGCAGGCGTACATTGGGTGGAGTCTTGCACTGCCGACCTGTAGGCCATGAGGATAAGGGGAAGATGGTAGTCCCAGTCCCGTTGGTGTTCTGAGGTAAGGATGGCTAGCTGCTGGCCAGTGTCCTGTTAAACCTTTCCACCAGTCCATCGCTTTGGGGGTGAAGTGGGGTGGTGCGGGTCTTCTTAATCCCAAGGCGTTCACACATGGCAGCAAATACCTTGGACTCAAAGTTACGCCCCTGGTCACTGTGGAGGGTCTCTGCTGTTCCAAAGCGGCTGAACATCCCCTCCACTAATACATCAGCGACAGTCTCAGCCTCCTGATCTGGGATGGCATATGCTTCCGGCCACTTGGTAAAATAGTCCATGGCCACAAGAACATAGCGGTTTCCTCTGTCTGTGCGAGGAAATGGGCCCATGACGTCCACAGCTACTCGCTCCATTGGAGCCCCTGCTGGTTGCTGCTGAAGCTGAGCCCGGGACTGGTCCTGTGGCCCTTTGTGTGAGGAACATGCATCACAGCTCCGGCAAAAGTCCTCCACATCCCTCCGCTGTTGACCCCAGTAATAGCCCTGGCGGAGGCGGCGGAGAGTCTTAGAGACCCCAAAGTGGCCGGAGCCAGTGCTCCCATGGCAGGCTTCCAGCACCGCTGACCTCAGCGACCTTGGCACCACAACCTGCCACCTCTCCTCCCCCGTGGCAGGATCCTTCCAGGCACGCTCCAACACCCCCTCCTTCAGCCTGAGAGCTGCAAACTTGGCCCATAGCCCCCTGGTACAGATGGAAAATCCAGTGACCTCATCCCAAAGGGGTTGCTCCCCCTTCTCCAGCCACTGCAGGACCGGCAGCAGGTCTGTGTCTTGTTCCTGCCGTGCCCTCCACTCCGCTGCATCCACCACCAGAAGAGCCCTGCAGGCGAGCTGTGCTGCTCCGTCTATTGTCGTGAGTTCCCGCTCTATTTCCTCTCGCTTCTCACAGTAACGGCAGCCAGCTGCAGCACATGGGCGGCGAGAGAGGGCGTCTGCGTTAGAATGGTGCGTCCCTGCTCTGTGCTCCACAGTGAAATTGAAGGCTTGGAGCTCCTCCAGCCAGCGAGCCACCTGTCCCTCTGGCTCCCTGAAAGACATCAGCCACTGAAGGGCAGCATGATCAGTTCTGATAACGAATGCTGTGCCGCACAGGTAGTACTTAAAGTGTCTTACCCCTGCCACCACAGCCAGCAGCTCTCGTCGTGTGACACAGTAGCGCCACTCACTCCTGTTCAGGATCCGGCTGAAGTACGCCACCACCTTCTCACCTTCCGGCCCAACCTGCGACAACACAGCTCCCAGCCCCACATTACTTGCGTCAGTGTCCAGGACAAAAGGCAGGGTGGGGTCAGGGGGGGCGAGGACTGGGGACTCTGTCAGCGATTTGCGGAGGGTGTTGAACGCCTGCTGACAGTCCTGGGTCCAGATGAAGTCACGGTCCTTCTGCAGCAGGTGGAAGAGTGGTGCGGCTATGGAGGAAAAGCCCTTCACAAACCTCCTGTAATAAGACGCCAGTCCTAGGAAGCTTTTGAGCTGTTTCTGGTCTGCTGGTGTGGGCCACTCGGTAATGGTGTGAATTTTTTCCTCCAAAGTGCTGATGCCCTCACGACCCAGCTTGTGGCCCAGAAACTCCACCTCCCTCCTCATGAAGTGGCACTTGTCGGGATGCAGCTTCAGGCCTGCAGCCGCCACCCTCTCCAACACTTGTCTCAGGGCATCCAGGGCAGCATCAAAGGAGCTCCCGTGCACTAGAAGATCATCCAGGTAAACCAGACACCGTTGCCGTGGGACGCCAGCCAGCACACTGTCCATAAGCCTCTCGAAGGTCGCAGGAGCATTGCAAAGACCAAAGCTCAGGACTTTGAACTGCCATAGTCCCCTGTTAGTGCAGAAGGCTGTCTTCGGTCTGGATTCCGGGGACAGTGGCACCTGCCAGTAGCCACTCCGCAGGTCCAGGGTGGAGAACCAGGAGGACCCGGCTACTAAGTCGAGAGACTCATCAATCCTGGGAAGGGGGTAAGAGTCCTTCTTCGTCACTTTGTTGAGTGGTCTGTAGTCCACACAGAAACGCATCCTAGGACTTTTTTTCTTAGGCACCATCACCACCGCGGAGGCCCACGGGCTATCAGATGGCTCTATGATGCCCGCCTTCATCATTTCACACAACTCTCTGTCTGCAGCCTCCTGATGAGCCAGGGGCAGGCGGCGGGGGCGCACTTTAATAGGCTGGGCATCCCCGGTCTCAATGACGTGCTCTACCAAGTGTGTCAAGCCAACATCACTTTCTTTCAGGGCAAAAATGTCACTAAACTCTTTTAGTACCTGCCATAGACTCTCTTGCTGCTGTGGAGTCAGCCCCTCACAGTTCTTTGACCAGATACTCCTCACTGCTGAGAGCCTCTCCTCCTCCTCCGCTCGCTGTTCTGCTGGCGGGTCTGCAGGGGTCTCTGCGGTGGAGGTGGACGCCGCGGCAGATGCTGTGCAGACGGGGGGGGAATAAGCGGCACCTTCTTCCCATCAGGGAGTGCGAGGAAGCCTTTGCCTAAGTCCAGTACACCACCAATGGCTCGTAAAAAATCCAGCCCAAGGATGCAGGCGTCCTGCACGTCAGCCACCAAGGCAGCATAAGACACACCGAGGTCCCCCACCTTGAACTGGAACACTCCCCTCCCTCTCATTGGGGCCAGATCACCGGTCACAGTCTTAAGTTGCACATTAGTCGGTTGCACAGCAGCTCCGGGTGGGACAACATCGGGTCGGACCAGCGTTGCATTGGACCCCGTGTCCAGCAGGGCCGTACAGGACACCCCCGCAATCGTCACTGGAACATGGCAAAAGCCGCCAACCTGGGTCCAGCCCACAGCGATGGCCGCACCAGGTGGGGGTGGCGGTGGAGTGGGGATGTCGTTCTCCCAGGCCCGTGTACTCCCGCCTACACGGGCCCATGGGCGTTTCCCTGAACCGCTGCAAGCTTGGGGCACTGCCTGATGAGGTGTCCGACTTGTCCACATCCCCAGCAGCTCTGCGGTCGGCGGTGTGGGCCAGCCCGAGGGGAAGGCGACTGCAGCGAAGCCGCCTGCACCAAACTGCACAGGCTCGCTGGCGTCTCCGTCTGTTCCACAGGTGCTGACACAGCCCTCACCACGTGTGCGTCATCAGCGCCCCCAGAGGATCCCGCAAGCATCTCCCTCTCCAACGCTAGCTCCAGGGCTGCACTGAGTGTGGCCGGACGAGCAAGCTGAGTTTGCATACGGAGCTCTTTAGGGCTCAGGGCCTGCAGGAACTGGTCCCGAGCTAACTCCGCCTGCACTGATGGTGGCATGCTGTCATACGCCCTCCGGCAAAGGCACTCGACTTCATGGGCCAAAATGCGGAGGGGCTCACCTGGCAATCTGCGTCTGTTGTGGAACTCCGACCTCAGCAGCACTGGTTGGTGCTGCTCCTCGGTTAGCAGCAGCAGGCATGCAGCTGCATCCTCACACAGGCACAAAGCCAACTGGAGAGCTTTATGTTCCTCAGACCAGCCAGCTGCAACAGCTAACAGCTCGAACTGTGCGATAAACACTTCCCATGGCGTCTTGCCGCTGAACTTAGGCGTTTTTATATGCGCTGCAGCTTGCTGGGCGCCGCCATGTTTGTTTACATCACGTGACGGCGCGCCAAGCGAGGTCGACTCCTTCCCGCCGGAATCGCGGCCGCTGTGCGAACAGTTCCCGAGCCTAGTCAAACCTGGAGAAAATCCAGCCTCGGCAGACAGCCGCAGCGCCGTTTCCCTCACTCCATGGGCGGCGAGCGCGGACGAACCTCCCTCTCCTCCGTCTCCTTCTTAATCCTGCCCGGCAACATCCTCGTCTCGCAACGGCAAGCGTCGCCAGCAACAGGGTGTCGGGCGTTCTGGGGTTCTTTTTTCTTTCTTCACTTCTGACACCAATGTAACGTTCACAAGAACCAGACGGTTGGGTCTCAGTTTGTCCGTTTATTCGGCACATAAGCAAGCGGGTTGCTAACTCAGGGGAGAGCGCCCTCGTGCTACACCTCTCTTCAGCCTGGCACCCACACAACACAGAACCCAGGTCCCCCCTCCCCTTCCTCCACACCACCCTTCCTACTTCCTGCAGCACAACCAAACATGAATCTTAAAGGAACAAACAGTGTGCAAAGATAACCAACATGTACAATAACACTTAACCATCGTTACAATATGATAAGTAGTGCTGTCAGTGTTAATCTTGTTAAAATGACGTTAACGCCATAACCGCATTAACGCGGCAAATCTCCATTAGCGAGTTAGCGCGGATCGCCCCGTGCGCGGGACTGCACGGCATCAACGCATTAGCACTGTTAGCTCGTTAACGCATTAGCACCGTCCAGGTATGTGTGGGCTGAAATTTCATATATGCAACATACAATATAATTCCATAAAAATCCCCCCAAAATAATTTTAAAAACACCATAATACCTGGCGGAGGTTTACCCTGGTGCAGGTGTGCCGCGGTCAGTGGAAGAATCCGCGAGTTTCTCTGTGAGTTTCCCATTACGTCGTAGCTACTCGGTGCTTGTTGGAAGTTTAGGGTTTTTTTCGCTGTAAAAAGAAGTTTTCTTCCCACGCACAGCGGACACTAATGTTTTTGTCACTTTTTATGGAATCAAACTCAAAGTAAGGTCAGTACTTCCACGCTTTAAACGCTGCACGCTCATACTCTCTCTGCACTCGATATATGATCCATTGTTGATCTGCACACAGCTGTTGTCACGAACGTCGCACTTGCTTACGTCACTGTCGTGAGACATTCTCGCAAAAAAATCATGGTTTTAGTAACGCAGTAACACAGCGTTCCTACGGGAAAGTAACGGTAATCTAATTACTGTTTTTGCAATAGTAATCCCTTACTTTACTCGTTACTTGAAAAAAGTAATCGGATTACGCGTTACTGCCCATCTCTGATGATGGGTTGGTGACACATTTCTCCTTTTTTCCACATTCCTGTCAGTCTACATTTAAATGAAAATAAAATCATATTTATAAGCTGATCAATTTCTTCACATTCATTCACATTCTTCAGATTTATGGTTAATCACAGCGTATGAGCAAAGTTTGTGGCTATTTGGGACTTAAACAGCTTTGCATGTGTGTCAACCCGATATCAGCGTGAAATAGTCACGCCGGTCCACCGTGTTCATTTCACACTATCCAAAGCATGAAATGTGTCGGGAGTTTCGTGTGTGGAGGAGAGGAAGAGATGACCCAAATGCAGGACTCGCGGTGAAAGCTGGTGTTTATTGAACGAACAGGAAATGACTGGCTGACTGAATGAACTGAGCATATGGCGACAACCTAACAGCAACACTGACGCTGAACCGAGATAAACTGAGGGTTTAAATGCAGCGACTCACGAGGATGATGATGAGAGACCGGTGAGTACACGGCTGAACATAATGAATCCAGAAATGGAACATGAGGAAAACAAACAGTGAACATGAACTGAAAATGCAGCGTCAACGACCCAGGAACCCTGACAAAGTGAACACACATGCAGGAGTTGCATTTCCAGCAGAGAAAGCTACTTAAAACCAAGAAATCAGCAGTGAACAAAATTCACTACATTCCAGAGTCCTGAACTGCCAGAATAGCTGGGCAGCTAATATGTATTTACACGAGCATGTGCTAACAATGCCTGTTTACACACATTCCTATATTATTGAATAAATGAAGTGTCTCCCTCTGCTATTACTGCAGCTTCTGCATGCATGTCCATTTCATGCTTTTGAGAGGCAAAGTGTGAAACCGACGCAGTGAACCGGTGTGTCTATTAAACATTTTGCAATGATCCTGGGTTGGTTATGACTGTGTGTATCAGGGGATGGGGTTTCCATTATTGCCCTTGCTGTTTCATAAACCTCTGGGTCACTTACTTTTATGTGCTTTGTACGTGTACTTTCAGGAAGGGGACAGTGGTAAACACAACAGTGTTGGTGTTTATTGCTGCTTTACTCATGGGCTTTAGCAGGATATGTGGGTCACCTGAGATGATCATCATTGGCCGTTTCATCACAGGAATCCACTCAGGTACACACACACACACACACACACACACACACACACACACACACACACACACACACACACACACACACACACACACACACACACACACCAGTCTGAGGAAGGCCATTCCCTGTGTGCAGAGGAAGAAATATTGGCAAAGCACCGTGATAAAAAACTCTTTTTTTCCCAGTAGCCCTAATCCTCTTCTGTAATAAACACATCCTCATTCCCAACTCTTTATATACTTTATTTTCAATTAAATTAATGTTTAAAAGTGAATCAGAGTAATATCATAACAATCTTCTTCTTTGCTCTTATTCTTGCAGGCATCTCTCTAAGTGTGGTACCAATGTACTTGGGTGAGATAGCACCAAAGAACTTGAGAGGTTTCCTTGGCCTTGTGCCGAGCATCTTCATTGGAACTGGAGTTTTTGTTGCCCAAATCCTCGGTCTACACGAGCTTCTAGGAAAGGTAGTCAAGCAACCTGCGTGCGGACTGGACTGTAGCATACACTGCTAACAGTATACTTTAAATCAAACAGTCAAGATGTGATTGAAGACTTTCAATTTCAAACGTTCAGAAGGTTTTACAAAATGTGCTCTAAAAACTGTTTAGGAACCAAAGACAATGTTATACATGGTCCCCCCATGTTCAAAGGCTTGTGACTGATTTGTTGCCAAACCAAAATGTTGCTATTAATGAATTATTGCTGGTGTTTTTCTCAGCACTTACTGTTGGTAAGCATAACTGTTGTGTTACTGTTGTAGGAGGAGCACTGGCCCCTCTTTCTTTCAGTGATTGCTGTGCCCACTTTCATCCAGCTGATGTTGTTGCCATGGTTCCCAGAGAGTCCTAGGTACCTGCTGATTGAGAAGCACAACATCCACGCTACCATCAGAGGTCAGTTTGCTTTTAGTGCAACATTATTTAGGTTGGAGGATGAAACAGCGGCACCGTGTCTGTAGGAAGGGTTAGACTTACAGAAGTGTTCAGTGGAGACATTGATTTCTTTACTGTGCTTCAGCAGCTTGTGTGACAGCTTAAAGAAAGCTGTAGAACTGATTGTATTATAGTAATGATCTGCAATAGACGCTGACCTGATTTAAAAAAGATGGAGCTGGGACAGGGGTGCTATATTCTGAGAAAAAAAATCTGAATATATGAGATTAAAATTAAGTATTTAAAACTATTTTTCCATATGTCAGGAATCTTGTTGTTCATGGGGGTAAGATTATAAATATCAGTTAGTGGCTCAACTTTAAGAAAATAAGGATCAAGTTTATCAAGACCAAAAGCTTTAAAGCTTCGTGTACCTCCATGACAGAGAGAGAAGCTCAAAAGAAAAGAAAGCCTCCTTTTCACCAGTCAGTTTTAATCCTGGATTGAGGTGGTCTCGCAGTTTTAAACAAGTAACATGTGTATTTAAAACTGAGAAAAGGCAACCAGTCTTGATTAAAATCTACAGCCAGGAAATTTTCACAAAGCTCTAAGGTACCTGTGTGACTGTTTGACAGTGTGGAAGGCTGGAACTGGACACCAGTGATGATGAAGCCGTGATAATGTAAGCTCCACTTTGTTAGTGTGGCCAGGGGGTGTGATGAGGAAAAGAAACCAATGAGCACGGCACATTCACACACACTGAGACGGTGGTGTGGTGACTGGGAGCTTAAAAGCTTTACAATCACAAGGACACCACAAAATGCCACCCTGGGAATATCTAGTTCAAACTATGCTAGTAGGCACTCAGGTCTGTTATGCTTCGGACAGAAATGTGGTTCAGGGTGTAAAATAAATAGTTTATTGCCAGCTATGTAAAAAACAGATATCAAATAAAAGTTGTTAATTTAATTGCATCTACACTGGTAATTGATTCAGAGTTGTGGCTTATTAGTGGGGATGCCAGATGATGATGAAGTCCGAAGAATCATCAACCTTTACATGAGCTCTCACTAAGGTGCAGCTTAAACCAGGGGTGCAAAAGTAGCTGCATACCACAGAAAACACAAAATCAACTAATCGTAAAAGAGGGATTACAAAGACTTAAACATTCTGGGTCACCACAGAGATCCAGTGGGTTGTGCCTGAGCCTCCCACCGAGGCCCAAACATCCTGCAATATGTAGTAAAATTTGCATTCAAGGTAAAAATGACAAAAGTATATACCAATCAAATTGCTCTGCTCGAGTCCCAGATAAAAAACGGCCAACGATATGCTTCTGCAGCTACGACCTATAAACTCACCTGTTTACTCCCCAGTAAAGTAATTAAATTCATTGGACAAAATAAGAACATACCAGTAATCCATGGAGGAAACGCTTCTGAGAAAATAATCTGCAGGCAATCACAACAAAAGGACCAGCAGCCTCATTCAACAACCATATTCAGACTGAAGTAGCAGCGGCATGGATGTGACCTGTAACAGCTAGGAAGGTCAGGTGACCGAAGCCCCGGGTACGTACAGCAGCCGGCGTGCCAGAGAGGGATGCTCAGGTAGCAGCTACAATCACATGATAGTGATGGTGTGATGAACCCTAACAAATATGTCAAATACTGCATTTCTGGCCAATCGCTTCACCAACGGGCAGATGACACGAAGGCTACGTCCACACGTTTTCTCTCCGTTTTGGCCGCCCGTCCACACTGAGAAGCCGTTTTTGCTCAAGGAAAACGCAGCGTTTGGAAAACGCTCTCGAAAACACACGCATTTGAAAACGGTGCTTTCGCGTCGCAGTGTGGACAGTGAAAACGGAGACTTTCGAAAACGTTGACGCATGTTAGTCATGTGATGTAATAAGAAGCCCCTCGAAGCATAAGTAACAGAGGATTCAGCATCACCTGATCCAGCCCTAGCTACAGTATATATTATTTATCAAAAAAAAGATGTTAAAAACCAGCCAGTGTTACGTGTCGTAGACTTCTCAACCAAAAATCTCACACAACTGTTAGAACATGTGACTCAGACATACAGGCAGGTTGAAAGGTGCAGCTGTCGTTGTTTTATAAGATTCAGATCACCAATACTCCACTAATAAACAGGAAATGCAACATGCATGTTGATGAGGAAGTCAGAGTCGCAGGGAACAAGATTTTATTTCTAGGTTTGACTGAGGCCAGGGAAAGTCCAGTGTTCTCAGGTGTTGAGGTGGAAACCCAGAGAAGTTCAAAAGCTGTCTGCAATCATTACAGAAACATTGTTATTTTTTTATTTATATGTAAATCTCATAAATCCAGGGAGTTTCTCTCAGACCACAGTCCTCCTCCCCAGTTCACTATATATATATATATATATATATATATATATATATATATATATATATATATATATATATACATATATTGGTAAGTATATGTGGTGTGTGTGTATTTTTAAACGATGCACTATAACCACGCTACTCTTTTCTCTTAGCTCTGAAGTGGTACAGAGCTAAATGTAACATCCAGGCTGAGATTGAAGAGATGCAGGAGGAGCAGCGCTCCCTGTTCTCAGTGGAAACACTGTCAGTATGGAAACTGATGCTGGATGACACGGTCCGATGGCAGGTGCTGAGTGTGGTGGTCATCAACATTGGCATGCAGCTGTCTGGCATCGACGCTGTAAGAACAGTAAATAGTTATACACACGTGTAGATGTTGTAGCAGAAATCAACCTTTTTGCATTTTTACAGCTGCTGAGGTGTTAAAGCATGGAGGAGCAAGAGTCACGCACATTGAAATAAAGCATGTTATGAATGGATCAGCAAGTCTGCAGTTAAATATGAATATAAAATATGAAACTCATTTACAAATGACTTTTTAACGTAATTTGTGGAGTGAGACATTAAATTAATCATGTGAGAATTTAACGAATAATAAATAATATGTGTAATTATAAATAAATATTTCTAAATACGTTATTATTCATCCATCATTTAATTGTTCAAACAAAAAAAGGTTTTACACAAAAAACATTAAACACTCAACAAAATCCTTTTTTAAAATGCAGTAAGTCAAATGACTCATGAGGCTCATGTTAGCTTGTTAGAAGACATCCCAGCAGTACTATCTTACTACCATTGTTATTTAGTTAATGTGCTCTTCACAAATAGAGCCTGAAGCAGCTACTGCTGTTAGGACCAGCCCCAACATGATGTTACATCTACACTGTTACACCTGTCTCTCTGTCATTTTCATGTGTTATTTATTACTTCTACTGACTCGCTCTCTTCTACCTGCTTCCTACTCTACATATCACAGTGTTATTTGTGAACATCATGTCTTGGCATTCACTCTTTTCTCTGTATTATTTTAGGTTCTTTACTTTACAATATAAATACAGTATATATCTAAATATCACCATGAGGCGACTGCTGTTCTGATTTGAATTAATAGAAATGTAATTGAATTAAATAATACTCCGTGCAGATTTCTGCTTGACCTCCATCCTCTTCCTAGCTGCCCTAATCCTCTGCACTTCCTTCTCCTCTCTGTCTTCATCATTTTCATAATCAGATCTTCAAAGTACTCATTTGTACATTTCCATGTAATCAGTGTTACCCTGACCTGCTGCACACCCAGCTTGACCTCTCCCTCTCTAGCCACTGAATAGAAATCCTTTTGTTATTCTTTGTGTCCAGCCTCACATACAATTCCCCATAAACTTTTTCCTTTGCCATCTTTCTTTGCTGACTTCCCAGTAGTCCTGTCTGCTTTTTTCATCTTACGCGGAAGGCATTTAACCCTTGCCATTGGGTGGATTCATGGCAGTGTGGAGTCCACTGAAGTCTGGGACTGCAATGACCCAGACTGAGGAATCTTTGGAATGTGGAGACCATGTGGAACGGGCTCTGGCGCTGAAGCGCTCGCACTCACACACTGACAGCATAGAGTCTGCTGGCTGCATGGAGACCTCTGCCCCAGGCTCAGACAGGGATTAGTGGGGCACTTGACTCTGGGAGAAGCAAAAGCCTCCACACAGCTCACACAAAAAATATATTTTTTGAGAGGACTGTTCCAAGAGCACAATTAACAGTCTTTAAGTTGGCAGACTCAGGCACAGGCTCTGTAAACGCCAAGATGTGAATGAGTGAACCTGCACAAGACAAAACTCTGAACTTTCAGGCTGGAAAACAGAAAACTCAGTATGTCTGTGAAGGTTCTCAGTCATCCAGGTCATCGTAGTCAAAGGCGCTTGCAAAGAAAAGCGTCTGGACTTCTTTAAGTTGCTTGAAGACGTTTCACCTCTCATCCGAGAAGCTTCTTCAGTTCTAAGGTCAAATGGTGGAGAGTCCCAGATATAAACCTAGTGGGAGTTTCCCCCCACAGAGGGACAAAAGGACCCCCTGATGATCCTCTAATCGCCTGAGCCAAGGTGTGAAACTGGGTGTGGGTCCCAATCAGCCAGAGTTTCGGGTGTGTTCATTGTGAAACCTGGCCCCACCTTATCATGCGAATTCCTGAGGTCAGATGGCCCAGGATGTGAGTGGGCGTTAAGGCGTCTGGGAAGGATCTCAGAACTGGATTATAGATGGCAGAGAGTTGGTGTCGTAAACCCCGCCTCTGTTCAAAGATGGTCGCTCACAGTGGACATAGATGCTTCTTTCACTCCTCTTTCAAACCATCTGTCCTCTCTGTCCAAAAAACTCAATCTGCAGAGCAGAGCTGAGTGTCTGTAGGAGATGAAAGGAGAAGTTAACTGTGGCCATGGTGAAACTGGAGACAGTATCTTGCATGATTTACAGTATGTTTCAGAGGGTTTACAGCGAATGGGCAGAAATCAAGAGGAAAGGTGAGTGGTTCAGTGGAAAGTGGGAAAGCAGGTGTGTCCTTGTTTTTAAAGCAGTGGCAGCTATCAGTTTGACTCAGTTAAGTTAAACTGACAGTGCTCTTCAAACTTTACAAGGAATGCATGTTAGTGAGCTTGGAATTGCTAAGGAACAAGGGAATGAATGAGAACAGAGTACTACGGAGCAAAAAACATAAACTGTGAATCACGGTCACCATGATGGTGACAAGGATCTGGTGGAAAACAGCTGGTTCTTAAATACCAAGAACTAATTAGACATTGCAAAGCAATTGCAGGAGAGAAAGCCCAGGAAAAGCCACTTTGCTGTGAGTAAGCATGTAATTTCTGCTGCTTCGGGGGTTACCACCACAACAAGCACCAACCAGCTTATAGTCACAGTTCAGTGCAACAGCCTCAGGAATGGGGCTGAACAGGGTCCATTGACACTCAGTGTCCTCATTCTCTGAATCCTGTCAAAGCTCTGCCGGAGGTGAGAGTTGATGATCTCATGGGCCTCTGCTAGGAGTTCTCAGAACACCCTCCATATATGTTTGGGTGCACCAGGTCTGTCCAGTGTCCTCCACTGGCCACCTAATCCAACTCACCACCAAGTGGTGATCAGCTGACAGCTCAGTCTCTCACTTCACCCAAGCCTCCAGAACATGCAGCCATGGCTGATCCTCGACGTACGGCCCGGGGGGGTCTGGTCCCATGTACACTTATGGACACTTTTCTGTTTGACCATGGTGTGCAGTATGGACAAACTGTGGTTTGCAGAAGAGAACTGTGCAAAGAATCAGGTACGACTGGTTGGTTCCTCCCAATCACAACCCTCCAGCTTTCACTGTCATTGCCCACATGAGCACTGAAGTTTCCCAGTAAGAAGTCCCCAGGTGGAGCACCCTCAACCAGCCATCCCACTCTCCAGGAGATTGGTTCCAGAGCCCAAGCTCTATGTTGAGGTGAGCCCAACTACAGTATATCTAGCCAGTACCTCTCAATCTGTCACCTCTCACACTAGTTCAGGTCCTTCCCCTTCAGGTTTTATGTCCCCATTGCCAACCTCTGAAGCTGGGTTTTGGTCCGCCAGGGTCTCTGCCTTTGTCCGACTCCCAACACACACTGCGCCTGACTCCTACGGTGCCTCCTGCAGGTGATGGACCTACAGGAGTGTGATCTCATGCCCCATCTTTGGGCTGCACTCAGCCAGGCTCCATGGACTAAGGCCCGGCCACTAGGTGCTCACCCTCCCCCAGGCCTGGCTCCATGGCAGTGCCCTGGTCGCGGTAACCCCATCCTGGGCAGTGTGAACTGTTCCCTTAAGGCTCTCATAGGGTTTTCTGAATCGCTCTTTGTCTGGTCTCTCACCCAAGACCAATTTCCCATGGGATACCTACCAGGGGGCAAAACGCCCACCAGCAAGATTCCCCCTGGGATCCCAGGGACACACATACCCCTCTACAACGATAAGGTAAAGGTTTACAGAGGGGAGGTATTTTAATTTAGTAATGTATTTTAATGTGATCTTAATGAAGGAGTGAAAAAACTGTCTGACGGCCGTCTATGTCGTGGAAAAAACTGCTGAAAGACTAAAGTTAAAAACGGTCTCTGGATGAATGGTCACCAATGTTAAAAAAAAAGATATCAGAGTGGTAAATGCCTTGTATATATGTTGTGTGTGTGTGTGTGTGTGTGTGTGTACTTCTTCTAAAAAAAGTTAAAAAAAAAAGAGGTAAATAACTGCACAATTGAGGAGAGTCAATAATTTACATAAAAATTTACATATAAAAAAAAGGTTAATGGTTATATGGTTAATAGTGTTGATTTTTTTGTTGTTGAATTATGTTTATTTTATTTTATTTTTTAAAGAAAAAAAAGTTAAAAACCATTGTCATTATAACCTTAATGGCCTGCTTTGCCTTTTTTTTTTACAAGCAAATTCCAGTTCTAATAAAATAATAATCATAATAAGTCATAATCTGGTCTTAAAGGACTTAAATAAGGTAAATACAACTTCCGATGAACAAAAATGTGATATATCACATGATACTTATTTTAAAATATTAGCTGAAAAAGTTGTGTTATTGCAATAGCAACACCTCGATTCTTTTCATTTTCAGCCGTCCTGTTTTAGATTTGCTGTTGAGTTTGGGATTATTTTCCTGTTAGTTTGTTCAGTTTTGGCCAAGCTTTAGCTGTTGGACAGATGACTTCACCTTTGACTCTACAATACTCTGGTATTCAGACAAGCCTATGGATTACTCAGTGACTACAAAGTGCCTGGGTCTTGTGGCTACAAAGCACTATGAGGTGTTTTTGCTGTGTATTGTGCATTATTGTCACATATCTTCACTTTGGTCTCATCTGTCCAAGCAACATTTTTCCAGAGGTTTCGTGGTTTGTTCAGCAGCTAAAGCTAAAACATACTGCAATGTTCTTTTTCCTGTTAGTTATTTTTCTGGTGACTCTTTCAAAGCTAAATATTCAGTTTTGTTTTTTAATTTTACATTTATGAACTGAAAACAAGAACTCTGAGATTTAGCCCTTGGAGTTTCTCTGTGCACTGTATTGCAGTTCTGTAGCAGACGTTATTATTAAGAAATTATTATCATTATTATTATTATTAACCTAATAATATATATATAATTTTAAACAAAATGACCAATTTCCTTTCTTTAATAAACCACACAAAAAAAAATACAACAAGTTGACTGCACGGACTACTTTTGTCATTTGCTTTTCTTCAACAAAATGACTGATATTCTGTAGTGCCTTTACTGTAGACAGTAAAGATGACTTTCTGCCTTAAGTCGTGTTTTTTAAGTCACTGAAAAGCATCCTCTACTTGGTTGAGATCAGGTGACCTATTTACCTGAACAATATCCTGTGTCTTTACTTTGAGAAACTATTGGGTTGCTTCTTCAAAGCAAAGGGACAGTGCCACAAACATTATCCCTGTGCTGTGAAGTGCTGTCCAAACAGATCTGCAACATTTTGCTGAATCTGAGCAGTGTAGCTATTTACGCTTCAGAGTTCCCCCTGCTACTCGTCTCAGCATGCCCATGCCACCATATTGCCTCCACCATGTTTAAAACACGATGTGGTGTATATCAGGTCATGCGCTGTTCTTTTCTTTCTCCATACCATTCCCATCATTCTTGTATAAGCCAATCTTGATTTTATCTGTCCAAAGATTTTTTTTCAAGAACCGTGCAGGCTCTTTTAGTTATATTTTTTAGTAAAGTATCCTCTTGAGTGTGACCAGTGTTTTGCACCTTGTAAACCTTCTGTATTTACATGCATCAAGGTGTTAGTTTGACAATGACATGCCAACCTTCTTAAGAGTGCTCTTGATGTTGTAGAGGGGTTTTACTTAACCAAGGAAGGATTACTGTAGTTTTCCATGACACTTATTGCTGCTGAAGTGCATTCATCATCATTTGTTTACATTTTTGGTGATTTGGCCACTTTTAACATGTTTTCTAAATGAAGAGCTAATAAATAGAACTTCAACACTAAAGAATAAACTCCAGATCTCCATCTGTTAATTTTTTGTAAAATAATAAAGACCAAAACTGTTAGGGATTTACACTGAACAAAAATATAAATGCAACACTTTGGTTTTTGCTCCCATTTTCCATGAGCTGAACTTAAAGATCTGAAACATTTTCTACAAACACAAAGGAGCCATGACTGTCAAATATAGTTCAAAAATCTGTCTAAATCTGTGTGAGTGAGAGCTTCTCGTTCGCCGAGATCATCCATCCCACCTCACAGGTGTGGCATGTCAAGGTGCTGATTGGACAGCATGAATATCGCACAGGTGTGCCTGAGACTGCCCACAATAAAAGCCCACTCTGAAATATGCAGTATGATCACACAGCACAATGCTACAGATGTCGCAAAACCAGTCAGTATCTGGTGCAACACATCCAATGGAGATGTGTTGCCTGCGTGAGGCAAATGGTGTGCATTGGGCATAGAGTTGATCAGGTTGTTGATTGTGGGTCCACTCCTCTTCAATACTTGTGCAAAGTTGCTGAATATTGGCAGGAACTGGAACACACTGTCGTATACGCCGAGCCGAGCGTCCCAAACATGTCTGGTGAGTATGCTGGCCATGCAAGAACTGGGATGTTTTCAGCTTCCAAGGAGTTGTGTACAGATCCTTGCAATATGGGGTCGTGCATTATCATGCTGTAACATGAGCTTATGGTCATGGATAAATGATAACCCCACCGCCACCATGGGCCACTCAATCCACAACGCTGACGTCAGCATACTGCTCATCCACACAACGCCACACAAGCTGTCTGCCATCTGCCCTGCACAGTAAAAACATCTGTCATCAAAACACCTCTCCAACGTGGCAGACGCCATCAAATGAGAGCATTCGCCCACTCAAGGTGTCATGGTCCCTGTGCCTCACCAGCTGATTCTGTATTAGGCAACATGTTTTCTCTCTCTCTCTCTCTCCTGCCGGGGCGATGCTCATTATGGGCTCCCGCCCCTGGCCCACGCACCTGCTGCCTATCGGGATAATCACAAGGCCGATTTAAGACAGCAGCACTGTGTCACTCGTCGCTGGATCGTTGAGTTATCAGCGTCAGTCGCTCAGTAGATTGTAAATAAGGATCTGTGAGTTCGTTCCGTCTGTTCGCCTCTAACTATAATCTCTGTGTACAGATCTATCCCGGACCTTTCCCTGCCTGCCTGTCATCCCGTGGACGAGTGAGTGGATGGTGTTTCCCCAGTGTGGGGAGTGAAGAGAGAGCATTTGGAGGGCGTCAGATTCCCGTCTTTTCCCTCACATACCCCGGAACCCTGGACCCCCCTCCCCTCCCTCCAGCACTTTGTAAATAGCATCACCTGGTGTCGTTGTGTAAATAAAATCTGTAAATCCTGTAAGGAGTCCCGGTCTGCGCCTGAGTCCGTTAACTGAAACCTGACACAAGGTGGTTAAAGTGACAAACTGCAGTCAGGTCCAGACCCCGATGAGGACCACGAGCATGCAGATGAGCTTCCCTGAGACGGTTTCTGACAGTTTTGCAGAAATTCTTTGGTTATGGAAACCAATTGTTGCTGCAGCTTTCTGGGTGGCTGGTCTCCACCTGGTCGACCATCCTGTAGGTGAACATACTGGATGTGGAGGTCCTGAACTGGTGTGGTTACATGTGGTCTGCGATTGTGAGTCCGATTGATGTACTGCCAAATTCTCTGAAACACCTTTGAAGATGGCTTATGGCAGAGAAATGAACGTTCATTTCACAGGCAACAGTTCTGGTTGACATTCCTGCAGTCAGCATGCCAATGGCACGCTCCCTCAAAAGCTGCGACATCTGTAGCATTGTGCTGTGTGATCAAACTGCATATTTCAGAGTGGGCTTTTATTGTGGGCAGTCTCAGGCACACCTGTGCGATATTCATGCTGTCCAATCAGCACACCTGTGAGGTGGGATGGATGATCTCGGCGAACGAGAAGTTCTCACTAACACAGATTTAGACAGATTTGTGAACAATATTTGACAGTCATGGCTCCTTTGTGTTTGTAGAAAATGTTTCAGATCTTTAAGTTCAGCTCATGGAAAATGGGAGCAAAAACAAAAGTTTGCGTTAATATTTTTGTTCATTGTATGTAGAAATATTCCGTACACTTTATGCAATACTTGTCTTTAACCCACTGTATTAAATATGGAAGTGAGCATTTCAATCACACCTTGACTGACTGTCAGATATTTACCTGCATTTCTCTTTCACCACAGATATGGTTCTACACCAACAGCATCTTTGAAAATGCTGGAATTCCAGCTCCAGAGATCCAGTATACCACAGCAGGAACAGGAATTATAGAGATCATTGCTGGACTCATTGGGGTAAGCATACAAATTAGAATTCATGCAATTATATAGCAGTTGATGTTACCTTTGTATTAGTGTTGTATTGCATTTTATTTCCACAAAAACAGATATTCATCATGTACAGAACTGAAATCAGGAAGTGATTTTGGGGCCTGCTTCCCTCCTTTAAGCTAAGCTGAGAGAAACACCTTGCCTAGCTGTTTCCATTGTTGCAAAATATTTTGAGTGCTCGAGTTTATCAGAAAAACACTATATAAGAATCAGTCCATCACATTAGGTACTAGTTTGCAACAGTGTCGATAGCAACAGCACCATCGTCCTCCAGTTGACACACACTGACTCACACTGCATTGCAGCAGACAAGGTGGCGCAAAGCTGAACACATGAACAGTAGCTGACAACAACACTGCAAATGCTGCTGCAAGTATTTATCAGACAAATGGTCAAATGGTGAAAATCCAGTTGTTGATAGGCCTTTATAGGTAATGTATATGAAACAGAAAATTTGGAATCACCAATTAACATAACACATCTCTGACCTGTGAAAGGAAGTAGGAGTGCATGAAGACTCCATACAGAATGGCTCCAAAAAACTGGTGCATGCAATGGTGCTAACCAGTGCTAAGCAAGGAAGCAAGTTTATCATACTGCCCATATGTTAATGCGAATACACAGTCATCACATGATAGCATAATACTAATATTTGTTGTCTAAAAAGTCTTATGTCCAAAACTGAAACTGGAAACGTCTGAGAAAAGTTTACCAGCAACGTTATTTTTGTGCCACTATTCTGAGCGCACGTAAAAAATGTTTGCAGGTGCAAGTGTTGCATTTTGAGGAGAAATTTATTTTGAGCGAAGAAAAGCTGAATTTGAGCGAATAAACTTCATTGCTGCCTGCAAAAAATGTATTTCAGTGTTTGCTATTATCCACACACACACACAACAGCAGCCCCTCTCGCTCAGTTTTTGTATTTGCGCTCGCAATGTGTCGCTCGCGCTCTCAACATTTCTGCCTGTGCGCGTTCAACTCTTTGTGTACATCGTTATAGTTGTACCACAAAACCAGCCAATCACAGACTTGGATGCAAAAAAATCTGATTGGCTGTTTTGGTCTCCAATCAGCTCGAAATGACGAAATGCAATATCCCAGAATGCATTTGTCCAAAACTCAAACGAGGCAGTCGCGGAGGAACACAGAGTGGCGGAGTTTGAAATATTACTCTGTCTGAGTCACAAAATAAACTTTAAAGATATTTTCATGCGAGAATGTTTCTGTGTAAACTTCAAATATCTGCTCGATTCATCAGGACATCACATATTTGCACAAGTGCTCTGACGTTTTCGGAGATGCCTGTTACCCACCAGCTGACCGCACAGCTGGACTGGCCAAAGTTTTATGTTTGTTTGTTTTTGTAACAGTATAAACAATGAAAGGTGGTGGATTAGTCAATTGGTCATCATCAACTCTGGGCTGGACCAATTACAACCAGAGATGGGCAGTAACGCGTTACTTGTAACGCATTACTGTAATCTGATTACTTTTTTCAAGTAACGAGTAAAGTAAGGGATTACTATTGCAAAAACAGTAATTAGATTACCGTTACTTTCCCGTAGGAACACTGTGTTACTGCGTTACTAAAACCGTGATTTTTTGCGAGAATGTCTCATGACAGTGACGTAAGCGAGTGCGACGTTAGTGACAACAGCTGTGTGCAGATCAACAGTGGATCACATATCGAGTGCAGAGAGAGTATGAGCGTGCAGCGTTTAAAGCGTGGAAGTACTGACCTTACTTTGAGTTTGATTCCATAAAAAGTGACAAAAACATTAGCGTCCGCTGTGCGTGGGAAGAAAACTTCTTTTTACAGCGAAAAAAACCCCTAAACTTCCAACAAGCACCGAGTAGCTACGACGTGATGGGAAACTCACAGAGAAACTCGCGGATTCTTCCACTGACCGCGGCACACCTGCACCAGGGTAAACCTCTGCCTACCCCACTCCTGCTTTACAGGTGAAAATAGAGCAACAGGACCGCTGAGTCTTTGACTTTATTTATTTTCTGCTGTGTTTTACTTGCATCTATTTGAAAGACTGAGTGTAAACACACAAAATATTTTATTTTATGTGCTGGAATGTGCAGAAAATAGGTTTAAATGTTAAACTAATTTATTCAACTCAGAGAATGTTGCAGATAATTAAATTTTTGCTTGATGCATAAAGTTAAAAGATTAAAACTAATAAAACAAGTTTTAAAAAGAGACTTTTCCATTTGATTACATTTTGTATGATGGATTATGCAGAAAAAGTAGAATTGGGCTGAAAGATCTATCACTTTATCACCTCTTCAGGCTGTTACTTTAAAAAGTAACTAAGTAACTAAGCAATTAATTACTTTTGAAAATAAGTAATCAGTAAAGTAACTGGATTACTTTCTGGGGGAAGTAATCAGTAATTAGTTACTGATTAGTTTTTTCAAGTAACTTGACCAACACTGATTAACACATCCGTATTGAGGGGAAGAGGAACAGTTTGTGTGGTACTTCAGCTACAATGAAAAAGACACAAAGCTGGAGTTATTCTGTGTTTTTGCTGCACAGCTGTTTCTTCTTCTCTCATTCTCTCCCCTCCCTCTCCTGTTGTTACTTCAGTCATGAAACTGATCAAAGATCACAAGTCCCGTCTCTCTTGTTTATCGCCCACTTTGCGCCAGAAACAGGAAACCAGCGGATGTCGCGCTAAACAACAGCAGCACGTTTAAGCTTGATCAGCTGTTGTTAGAATTGATTTAATATTACTTTCTAGTATCAGCGGATGTTTGCTGGAAACAGCCAATCAGATTTTTTTGCATCCAAGTCTGTGATTGGCTGGTTTTGTGGCACAAATATAACGGTGTACAGAAAGTTGAGCGCACACGGGCAGAAATGTTGAGAGCGCGAGAAACACGTTGTGAGCGAGCGCAAATGCAAAAACTGAGCGAGAGGGGCTGCTGTTGTGTGTGTGTGTGGATAATAGCAAACACTGCAATACACTTTTTGCACGCAGCAATGAATTTTGTTCATTCAAATTTAGTTTTTCTTCGCTCAAAGTAAATTTCTCCTCAAAATGCAAAACTTGCACCTGCAAACATTTTTTACATGCGCTCAGAATAGTGGCACAAAAATAACGCCATAGGTTCCTTAACAACTCAAATGATGTTTCATTTAAGTTGGAACAAAAACAGATTGTCACAGTGGTGCAAATGGATGATTGGCTCCACAAGTTCTTTCATGCTGCTTCTGACATTTGGTTAACTGAGGAGTGACATCATTCCAAGTCCTAACATTCAGCTTCCAGCAAAAGGAACGAAGCCCTGATCAGCAACAGCATGTTTTTTTGTTGTTGTCGTCATTTTCCCCCCTATGGTACCAAAGTATCCTGTATATTAGCATCAAATGTGAAACTCTAGTATTGCGACACACCTAACGACCATCCAAACTGCTATTTTAAACATCATCATTAGCCCATTGACTCTGTATTTCTAAGGTGAGCTAGGCTAGTGCTTCTCATTTTGTATGCTAAGTTGGTGTAAACACACCTTGAGTCGAAACACAAACACATGTGTTCCACTCAGTAGTGTCTAATAAAGCATCTGTCTCTCCTTATCGAGTGTTTTACTATAGAGAAGCTGGGCCGCAGGCCTCTCATGATTGGGGGTTTTGCTATGATGGGTATCTGCAGTACTGGGATAACACTGGCCCTCATTTTACAGGTAAGTGTGTGTGTGTGTGTGTGTGTGTGTGTGTGTGTGTGTGTGTGTGTGAGAGAGAGAGAATACATATTTAAAGCAGTGTTTAACAAAAAGACTCATTTTCGCTTAGAGAAGCTACATAAATACTGTCAGACTTCTTCAATGTTCTGCTGTTTGTTCTCATTGCAGGCTCATTTGTCATTCATGCGCTACATCAGTGTCTGCTGTGTGGTGGGCATTATTGCTGGCTTCTGTATTGGCCCAGGCAAGTTGCTTTATACTGCATGTTAAAGGACTGGTTCATTTAAATGACAACTATTAACAGATTTACCTGTTCAAAGTATTATTTTGGTGTGGTTATCACATGATGTCGACAGAAGCAAAAAATGAAAAAATAAAAACATAAGAGCCAAAAAACAAACTAGTTGATGCATCAAAGCGGTGGCTGCCTGCAAAAATCTAACTGCTGCCCATTTCATATTTGACAGTGATTAAATGGTTTTAACCCTCTCAGGCTCAAGTTTTTTGTTGCTAATGCACAACCAAGTCCTGCAGTGGTAAAAGAAACTCATAAAATATGTATGTGGGGTAATCAGGTTGTTAGTTTTTAACTGTTGGAAATCGGCAACGCCTGCCTGGAGAGGGTTAATATCAAGTAGACAACATTATGTCAGCAGGCATGGCATTCATACAGCTACAGGCGAAACGATTTTCTTTTTCCCACATGTTTTAGAAACCTTTGGAATTTTTGGTATGTTTAATATCCATTTAAACGCGTGTGTTTGGAAACTGGAATCTTTTACTAGCCAGGATTTGTGGATGGGTTATATGTGAACTATTGCTGGGCAGAGCCATGAACAATAGTGTGTTTAGAGACTCGTGCATGATCTCAGATAAACAGACTATCACTGATTGCTGCTAAAAGAGTTTTAAGAGTTATATAAACCAGAATGTAATTTAAGCTTTTGTACAGGTGGATGACAATAGTTTCTAGAGTAGTAAACAGGTGAGTGTAGTCTGCTCTGATTGCAGCTGATGTGTGATGTTATTCTTTTGTAACCTGTGAGTTGCAGGAGGTTTGGGTTGCTCTGTGTAGTGGTTGAACAGCACCCTCTGCAGGTCATGCCTTTAAAAATTTGTCTCTAATTTGTCTCTGAAAATCTTTTGTACTGCAGCTCTAGTTACATTTTCATTTATTCAGACATTTAAAAGTTTAATAAATGCAATTATTTATAAAAGTGATATGCATTCAAATGTTCTAATTTGAAGTTCCCTGACTGTATATTTGACTCTAGGTTCTAGGACCTTCTGTAAGAGAGACAAATAAAGCCGTTTTTACTGACTATAACAGTTAAATATTAATGATATGCATTCTTTGACACGTTTCTCGTGTCCATATGCGGATTTTTAGGCCCAAAGGCTGTATTGGTACGAGAGATGATAAATGAACATGTATTATAAAATCATGAACATAAATAATATAATTGCTTGCACACACCCTGTTAATCTGCACATTAGTTTTGTAATAAAAACTATCTGTTATCTCTGTGTTTCCTCTGGATGCTCCGGCTTCATCCAGGTGCATGTTATAAAGCTGCATATGGATGTAAGGTGGACAAAGTGCCTTATCCTGATCAATAATTGGAGCTATAGGATGAAGAACTTTGGAACTAGAGACCAAAAGAGTCAGATTGTGTTTGTTACTTATAAATTGTCTCAAATGTGAGACTAAATGACTTGTGAACACTATGAAATCGCTGCGAGAGCATCCAACAGCAATGTGTGACTGATGTTTGGTAAGTCCTGTCTTTTTCCTGTTGCAGCTGGAGTGCCGTTTCTGGTCACGGCAGAGTTGTTTAAACAATCTCACCGACCTGCAGCCTACATCATAGGAGGCTCACTCAACTGGTTGTCCAACTTCACTGTGGGATTCGTCTTCCCATTCTTACAGGTAGAAGCTATACACGGTCGTGGATTTCTTTACAAACGTAGTATGCAGAGAACTGATTGATGTAGTCCTCGAGTACCCACTTATCCAGGATCCAGTTTAGGTCTTTATGCTTTTAATAGATTCCTTAAGAATCTATTAAAAGCATAAAGTCAGGGAGCTGTTAAATCAGGGGGAGCAGACAGGATGGAATAGAGCAGCTGTCAGTGACAGCAGACAGGATACTGGTGAAGCCACTAACAGCATGTGGAGGAGACCGGGGTAGTTCTAGGTTTCAAAGTGCTTCGCCTACATCGATCCTGCTAAATGAAGACAGAAGGACACCGGTGCAGTCGTGAGCTGATGTGCTGCTGGCTGAGCTCGACTTCAGAACTAATGCTCAGTTTGCATAATGGGAGTAATGCAGTGTTACGCTTTGTTTTATCTCCCTCAAGTCGATATATCACTGTGAATGCCTCAGAAATCCTTCTCAGTTTCTTACTCCCTGTAGTCCAAGGAAACGTCAGAGTGTAAGAGTAACTACCTATTCTGACATACACAATGTCAGTTTACTGAAAGTGACATGGGTCACCTTTGATTTAAAACCAATTGTCCTTTTCTTTCTTTCTTCCATTTACCTGCAACACCAACCACCAGATGTCAGCCGGAGCTTACTGTTATTTAGTGTTTGCCACCATTTGTGCATCTGTTGCCGTCTATGTCTACATTGTGATCCCAGAGACCAAAAACAAGACCTTCATGGAAATCAGCCAGATGTTCTCGAAGAAAGAAGCAGTCTTAGAGACCCAGAGTCTGATCCATGTTGACCAGCTAAAGCTGCGGAAGCTGAATGGCTACGGTGGTCTAGAACATGCTTCGGTGGAGTTTGACAGCTCTTTGTCTGTACCTTAACTCAGACTTCACAGCCAATTCATTCCTTTGGTATGTACATTGTAACAAAACAACACCTCACCTGTACCCAGTGTGCTATAGCTGAGTGAAGTTATTCTGTCAACTGAATATTTATATCCAAGATTTGTAAGAAAATTTACTTCATGGGTGCTAATTCAAAAGTATTACTCTGGGAGCATGGTGACATCACAGGACTATACATATAGTGAAACAGCCAGACAGGTTGGAAACAATCAACCTGTATGGTACGCAGACTTAAGACAAATGTCATTACATTTGAAAAACCCATTTCCTCTTTGGCCTGCTGTAATGGACCAGATCTGCCTATGGAACGGACTGTAACTCCCAACAACCCTAGTTTGATAATTGGGTAAGAAAATAGACGAGAGTGTTATACAGAGTTTCAATGGTTGTTCTACACTAAAATACTAGTTTCAGTTTCCCTGAGGTACATTAGGTAAGTGCCCTTGTTCTATCTCGACCCAGCAAATAAATATGTTTTTATGTCAGTCATGATTTCAACCTTGATTATCTTGGTGAGTACGGTGCTATGAAAAATGTTAGCAGTGATGTGCACAACTGCAAGAAATTGTAACCACAACTGTACTTAAAAAAATAATAACCGTTTTAATTATGTTGTCTGTGGAAGGGAAAGTATATTCATGAAAAACTAAAATACAAATGACCTCTGGGGTCATGGAAAAACAGGTCATTTTCAAATAAAGCCCAGCTAGTAATTCTTCTGAAAGGTAAACTTCATTTCTCTCCTCACTGTAACCAGTCATTTTGGGTTCTACACTTAACCAAAATACAAGTGAAAAAATAATTGTCCCAGAAGGAGCTCAGACACCAGCTGTTTGTCCCTTTTGTGTGTCATTTTACATTTTTTGGGTTTAAGCAGCTGATGGTTGTTTAGGTTGTTAGTTTCTTACAACTGACAAGTTCATATTCTGTTTAGTCAGCATTAGCATGTGGAATGGGAAGCAATTAATTAGATAAGATCTTTGTTGGGACAAAGAAAACATGAGAGGATGAGATTGACCCAGCTTTATGGAAATAATAAATATTAAACAAATTGTTATTTCTTTGATCATGAAAAACCTCAGATGCTGTGGATACTGTTACTGCTACTGCACTTTTATGTATATTTTAAAAGATGCTTACTGCAGACAGTTTGGGTGGTAAATTCTGTAAATTGGCTTTTTAGCCAGCATGAGTGAAATGAAATCGGACATGCACAGAATAAACTGTCTTCCTTTCAGTAGGAAACAAGAGCTTGTAGACACAACAGCCTGTAAGAAACGGGTTGTGCACAGTACCACACACAGTACATGACAGAAATACATCTTTTTTTAATCTTTTGTAGTCAGTAAGTCACAATCTAAGAAATCCAAATAACAAACTGCATGTTGTTAAATGTCACCATTTGTTCCATATGTATATTACCTGATGATAAACATGATATTTTCTCAAGTTGGTCCTGATATTTTAGACTGTGTCATTACGCTGTGCTGGTTGAATTGTTTTGCAAAGTCTGCTAAAATATAATTTATACAGAAAGTGAAACAGTTTAAATACATGAAAATGTGTACATAAGTCTAAAAGTTGTGAATTGTCAAAAGATAACTACATAAATGAAG